AGATAAAATCTGAAAGATATCTGTGAAAGCTTGGCCGTGTTTGTACTAATGCTGGTTTCCTGATTTGGAGGTTTTGTATCCTTGTTTATATAGGAAGATGTCTGTAAACACCCTACAAAGCAGTGTGCTTAGGGACTAGTCTCTATATGTGTCTATATGATTCATTCTTGGAAGGAGCACCACAGAAATGACTGTGTTCTCCTCAGTGCAGGCATCAAAAGACATTCCGTGTTGATCCGTTGCTGTAGGTGATATTAACTTTGATCACCTGGTCAAGTTGGTGTCTGCTAGTTTTCCCTGCTATAGAGTCACCACTCTGTAATTGATTGGTATTTTGTAGGGAGGTATTCTGACTGTAACATTCTTCTATTCCATGTCAAATACCTACCTCCTGCTTTAGCATCCACTGATGACTCCTGTCTGAATCCACCATCTCTATGAAGGCTGCCAAATAGTAATACATTGTGACACAAAATGTGGCATCATCATCCTTGGCTTTATGGAAACAAAGTTTTAGAGAGGCCATTGTGATCCTAGTAGGAAGGAGACAGGGATGATGGTATTGGGGTGACTATAACAATCTGGGTAAGACAGTTGTGAAAATGATCGGCAACTCAAGGTAGAATGGAGGGAGGGAACATAGTGAAAACATATTTAGGACCCAGCTCCTAATCTATCAATAGATAAGATGACAAGCTGAATGTAAAGATTTAAGAGAAGTTCCTATGAGAGTGACAGGTGACTCTGGCAGCACATTTTGATTATTTTGAAAATGGGTGAGGCAGGTATAACTACAGATTGTTGTTGCTCAGTCATGTCCGACTCTGGACACTAGGGACTGCAGCACACCAGGCTTCCCTGACCTTCACCAACTCTCAGAGTTTGCTCAAGCTTGTGTCCATTGAGTCGATGATGCCATCCCACCATCTCATCCTCTGTCATCCCCTTCTCCTCCTGCCTTCAATCTTTCCCAGCATCAGGGTTTTTTTTTCCAATGAGTCAGGTGGCCAAAGTATTGGAGGTTCAGTTTCAGCATCAGTCCTTCCAATGAATAATCAGAGTTGATTTCTTTTAGGATTGATTGATGGATCTCCTTGTAGTCCAAGGCACTCTCGGGAGTCTTCTCCAACACCATAGCTCAAAAGCATCAGTTCTTTGGCGCTCAGCTTTCTTTATGGTCCAACTCTCACGTCCATACATGACTAATGGAAAAAACAAAGCTTTAACTAGATGGACCTTTGTTGGCAAAGTACTGTCTCTGCTTTTTAATACACTGTCTCTCATATTATCTAATTACAGATAACCTGAATCTTTGGCGTCAAGACGGTGCTGGAAATAGATGAGCAGACCAGGAGGGCAGAATGGAGACAGAAGGATTTAACACAGTGGAACACCAGCATTTGAGGAGAGGAAGAAGGCAGGGGAGGAGGAGCTGACAAAGAGGGTTAAGAAGGTTTTATCTGAGAGGTAAGCAATTCAAAGACAGTGGCTGTAGTTAATAAGACATTAGCAGATTAACTGGCTAATTACCACCTAATGAACTGTATTATCACCTCAGAGAAGTCTGAAGAATAGAAACTAACAGATTTCACCTGGGAGTTGAGAAGAGTGGAGAAAGATAAATCCCAAAGAGCCCCAGGTAGGCAGGGAGCAGCACAAAGACCTCGGATGAACAGGTTTGTGTAGGAAGAATGAGAAACCCAGAACTAATTAGCATCCCCCTCTCCTCCATCAACTTCTTGGTTCTGAGCAGGGGCCACTCTTTTTATTCCTCTGCAAAACAGTGTTTCTTTTCTTCCAGCATTACCTATCTGCCCTCCCCTCTCATCACCCAGACCCACGGAGGAACAGAGAACAACACCACGAGCTTTACTGTTAACTAAAGTTGTTACCAAACATATTTTAATAGCTTTAAATGTTTTACCTCGAGAAACTACTAGAGAAATAAAAACAAAGCAAAAAGTGAGTGGAATAGAGGGACAGAACTCTGCAAAAATAGCAGTAGAGCAGTGTGTTAGTTACTGTTCTCCTTGAGATACAAATCAGTCCAGGATAGCTCTCACTCAGCCCCCTTCCTCTGAGGATCTATGAGATGCCTGGGGAAGTTTCCTTACTTGGGTTGGGTCCTGAATCAAATGATTCCTTTTTTAAACCCAAGGTTACTTCTGCTGCTGACTCTTGCACGCATGCAATTCTCAGTTTCTTTCTTCCTTTTTTTTTTTGTTGTTGTTTAAAAAAATGTATTTACTGAGATAAAATTCCCAAACCTTCCAAGTCACTCACTTAAAGTGGACAAATCAGTGGTTACAGTATATTCCCAGAGCTGTGCAGTCATCACCATCACCTAAGTTAAGAAATGTTATCACCCCACAAAAAGAAACCTTAGATCCCATTAGCAGTCATTGTTCATCTATGATGACTACCCCCCCACCCCCAACTGCCCCAGTGCTAGGAAACCACTAATCTACTTTCAGTCTGTACTGATTTGCCTATTCTGGACAACTCATGTTAATGGAATCACATCATTTGTGGTCTTTTGTGACTGTTTTCTTTCACTCAGCCTACTATTTTTAAGGCTCACCATGATGTAGCATCTGTCTTTCCTTTTCTCTGGCCAAATAACATTTCATTGCATGAATACACCAAAATTTTGTTTTCCCACTCATCAGGTGATGGGCGTTTGGGTTGCTTTCACTTTTTCACTATGTTCTTGTTGCCAAGAACATTCATGCACAAGTGTTTGTAAGGATACACATTTTCATTTCTCTTGGGTATATACTTAGGAGTGGAACTGCCATGCTAAGTTGCTTCAGCCCTATCTAACTCTTTAAGACCCTCTGGACTGTAGCTCACCAGGCCTCACTGTCCATGGGATTCTTCAGGCAAGAATACTGGAGCGGGTTGCCATTTCTTTCTCTAGGGGATCTGCCTGACACAGGGATGGAACGTGTGCCTCTTAAGTCTCCTGCGTTGGTAGGTTCTTTACCACTAGCATTAATTAGTGTTTAATCTTATAAGAAACTGCCAGCCTGCTTCCCAAAGCAGCTGCACCATTTTCCAACCCACCAGCACTGTAGGAGTGTCCTGATTTCTCTACATCCTCACCAGTACTTGTTAATTGTCTTTTTGATTCTCAGTTTCTTCTTATCAGAACCTTCTGCTTTGCTATCTGGATGGGAGTGTAGGACCCAATGAAACTGCCAACTCTGTTACTCCTGAGCTCTGTGGACAAGAAAAGCAAGTCCCTTTTGGGAATTCCCTGGTGGTCCAGTAGTTAGGACTCAGCACTAGCCCGCAAAAGGTGTCAGCTCTCCCTCAAGCCGGCTCGCTGTTCTAACAGCGTCTCCCACTCTAATAAACTGTTCTCTCTTTCTGCCTCACTTCTGGAAATTCTTTCCCAACCCTCGCTAAGACCATGACAAACCCTGCAAGCCAAGTGGGGCAGGCAAAACAAAATTAATTAATTTAATTAATTAAATTTTAAAAAGAAAGAAAAACAAGTCCTATTTTAATATCTGAAAATTCCACTGCTAGGCTTTGGGCCAGCCTACACTGAACAGCCTGGAGGAGGGCATGGCAACCCAGTCCAGTATTCTTGCCTGGATAATTCCACAGACAGAGGAGCCTGGCGGGCTACAGCGCATGACGTTGCAGAGTTGGACACGACTGAAGCAACTTAGCATATAGGCACGCTGACCGGGCCTCCCTGTCTTCACCCTTCCTGAGGTCCTCTTTCTCTGGTTCCCTAGGGGGAGGGGCTAGGGTGCTATCCTGTCCTCCCCCCCCAATCAGTCCCCTTATTTTCCTTGCCCCTTCGGGGTTGTGGCTCCTCCAAGTCCTCTCCTCTTGGCTGTGACAATAGAGCCACTTTTGATCTCCCCTAATATGTAAATGGATCCAAGTTCCCTCTCTCACAATCTGCTTTCCATAGGTCCACTCCTGTCTATTCCATTTGTCTAATGTATGTTAATTAGTTGGGTGTTAAGATGTTCTTGGTTTGCTAAAACTCTACCCCTTTCCTTCAATTTTGTTTTTATTTTCATTATATATTTATTTTAGCCTACACGGGTCATACTACATAGTTTTGTATCCTTCTTACCTTAAGCTCTTTGAAAGCATAATTTTTAAAAATTGAAGTATAGTTTATTTGGGCTTCCCCTGTGGCTCAGTGGTAAAAAGATTCTGCCTGAAATACAGGAACCACAGGAAATGCAGGTTTGAGCCCTGGGTCAGGAAGATGCCCTGGAGAAGGAAATGGCAAACTGCTCTAGTATTCTTGCCTGGAGAGTCCCATGGACAGAGGAGCCTGGCAGGCTACAGTCATAGAGTTGCAAATAGTCGGATATGTCTGATGCAACTGAGGATGTATGCACACATAGCTGATTTAGAATGCACTAATTTCTGCTGTACAACATAGTGATTCAGTTTTATATATATGTACATTTAAAATATGTACATTTTATATATGCATACATCTTGTATATACATTCTTTTCCATTACAATCTATTATAGGATAGAGAGTATAGTTCCCTGTGCTTTACACTAGGATCTGGTTTTTATGCAAGCATAATTTTTAATTGTTCCCATTTTTGTGTTAACTTCCAAGTTATCCAGATTATATCTCTTTGCAAAACAAAATATCAATTTGAAATCTATTTAACAAAGCAGTTAACAACTGATCTGTAGAGGAATCATATGCATTCATTTCTAGGCATTGATTTCAAAGGAGACCAAACCATCAATCCTAAAGGAAATCAACCCTGAATATTCATTGGACGGACTGATGCTGAAGCTGAAGCTCCAGTACTTTGGCCACCTGATGCAAAGAGAAGACTCATTGGAAAAGACCCTGATGCTGGGAAAGATTGAGGGCAGGGAGACAAGGGGACGACAGAGGATGGGATGCCTGGATGGCATCACTGACTCAATGGGCATGAGTTTGAGCAAGCTCTGGAAGATGGTGAAGGAGAGGAAAGCCTGGTGTGCTGCAGACCATGGGGTCACAAAGAGTCAGACATGACTGAGGGACTGAACAATAGCAACAGTTGATTTCAAAATCTCTCTCTTGTTCATTAAATTGCATCCTCCCTCCCCCGACCCCAAAATATTTTGGAGTTCTAGCCCCCTTATCTCAGAATGTGACCTTATATGGAAGTAAGTTCTTTACAGAGGTAGTCAAGTTACAATGAGGTCATTCAGCTGGATTCTCATCCAGGATGACTGGTGTCCTCATAAAAAAGGGGAAATCTGAACACAGAGACAGACACACACAGGAAGAAGTGAAGATGGGAAGATGAAGACAGAGAGCAAGGTGGTGCAGGAGAAGCCAAGGAATGCCAAAGATTGCCGCTAAAGCCCCAGAAGCTAGGAGCACGAGGCATGGGGCAGATTCCCCCATACAGCTCTCGAAAGGCAACCTACCCCATCTTCATCTTGAATCTCTTGCCTCCAGAACCGTGAGACAATAACTATTTGCTGTTTAAGCCATTCGGTTTGTGGTACTTTGTTACAGCAGCCTTAATAAGCGAATACATTATCTGTTGTCAAGAACTGTAAGAAGATGATTATTTAGATCATCTTAGACCTAAACAGCTATCACAAAATACTGCTGTCAGGGTTTTGCAGTTCCTCTGTTTGAATCTTGGAAACAGTTCCCAGGGTTATGCTCTAGGTCATCTCATTCAGGTGGGTCAGTAACATGACAGCAAAGAGTAGCTGATGACATCTAAGGAAGAATAGTTAGCTTCTGCACATTCAGGATGACTTCACTGATCCATGATTTCAAAGTTTTCCACGCTCCCCCAAATCTTTTTATTATAGAAAATTTCTAAAAGGAGTATAATGAGTTTACTTAACTATCAGGCTTGATGTTAGTCTCTCTCTCTTTTTTCTTACAAATTTTTGTTGATGAAACCAGGTTATTTGTTTTATAAAGTTCACTAGGGTCCAGAATTTTCTGACTATATCCTTGTGTCATTGTTTACCATGTTGCATTGTCCCATGTGTTTCCTATAAAGTGGTAGTTGAATTTTAATGGGGTTTTAAACCCTTAAAATAATTTTTGTTTGTTTAGATAAGATTTTTTCATAGGTGGAAATGTGTCAAACTGACACCTTAGATGAGTTTTCTTTTACTATGAAATATATTATTCACTGCTATAGTGAATAAAAATTATATTTTAAAGAAGAAGAAGAAAATGAATATCCAGCATCCATCACAAAAGGTATAAAGCAATAGAGTATTGCCAATAACTAATGAAATCTCTTTTCACCCCATTCTAGGGGTAAACGTTATTCTGACTTTTTTATTTTGGGCCATGCTGGGTCTTCGTTGGTAGGTGGTCTTTTCTCTAGTAACTGAGCAGGGCTACTCCTTGTTGAGATGTGAGGATTTCTCATTGTGGTGGCTGCCCTTGTTGGGGAGCACAGGTTCTACGAGCTCCAGCCTCATCAGCTGTGGCCCTTTGTTGTACAGAAACATGAGGGATCTTCCCGGACCAGGAATCAAACCTGTGTTCCCTGCATTGGCAGGCAGATTTTTATCCACTGTACCACCAGGGATGTCTAATCCTGACAGCTATTCCTTCACTTTCTTTATATCCCTTATGAGTATATTCCTAAAGAGAATATTGCTTGGTTTGCCTTTATTACTCTATGACCTGCTTTCTCTCCCTCTCAACATGATGCTTTTGAGATTCATCCATGCCATTTCTTGTAACCGTAGTTCATTCATTTTTACTGGTATACGATCAGTACGTTAGATGAATAGACTCCACTTTATCTTTTCGTTAGCAGGCATTTGGATTGTCTCCAAGTTTTTGACATTAGAAACGATCATGCAATGAACACTCTTGTCATACCTCCCAGTATATGTGTACAAACTTTCTCTAAGGTATATGTATATCCGGGGTGAAACTTCAGTGTAAGATGTGCAGATGCTCAACATCAGTAATCGATGGCTAATTATTGTCCAAAGTGTTTATACCAATTTAGACTCCTGCTAGCAGTGGACAAAAGTTACCCATTGATTCAAATTCTTGCTAATGTTTGGTATTGGCAGATTTTGCCAGTTGGTGGGTTTGAATTCTCTATTGATAAAAGACAAGTAAAACTGTACTATATGTAGTCGATATTTCAACTGAATTCACAGGAATCCTGTTCCAACATTCCTTCTGTTTGTCCCTTATTTTCAGCAAACCACAGCACTTTGTATTTTTAAAGTGCCATTGCTCAAGGCTATGGTTTTCCCAGTGGTCATGTATGGATGTGAGAATTGGACTGTGAAGAAAGCTGAGTGCTGAAGAATTGATGCTTTTGAACTGTGGTGTTGGGGAAAGACTCTTGAGAGTCCCTTGGACTGCAAGGAGATCCAACCAGTCCATCCTAAAGGAGATCAGTCCTGGGTGTTCATTGGAAGGACTGATGCTGAAGCTGAAACTCCAATACTTTGGCCACCTCATGTGAAGAGTTGACTCATTGGAAAAGACCCTGATGCTGGGAGGGATTGGGGGCAGGAGGAGAAGGGGACGACAGAGGATGAAATGGCTGGATGGCATCAGCGACTCGATGGACATGAGTTTGAGTAAACTCCGGGAGTTGGTGTTGGACAGGGAGGCCTGGCGTGCTGCGATTCATGGGGTCGCAAAGAGTCGGACACGACTGAGCAACTGAACTGACTGACTGACTGAAGGCATTTCACCAAGGCATTTCACCTATAGTCACTGAGAATATGTCGCAGTTTTTGAGGAGAGAGAGAGATTAGTGTAATTTAAGAGCTGGAAAGACACTCATGAGATGAAGGACTACTGTGCAGCATAGCTATGTGTAGCTAAGCATTATGGTGATAAGAATCCTGATAAAATAGATTCTCTGTAGGGCCAGTATGGGCTTCTCTGGTGTCTCAGTGGTAAAGAATCCACCAGCCAAGCAGAAGATGTGAGTTTGATCCCTGGGTCTGCAAGATCCCCTGGAGAAGGAAACAATAATCCACTCCAGCATCCTTGCCTGGAAAATCCCATGAACAGAGGAGCCTGGTGAGCTCCAGTCCACGGGGTCGAGAAGAGTCAGAGCTGACTTAGCTACTAAACAACAACAAAGGGCCAGTGCAACACCCTCCATTCAACCCAGAAACCAGCTCACTCTCCTCTCCTCCCGTTTCTCCCTTCTTTCCTTCCTCCTGGTTGCTTCAGGCCACAGGATCTGGAACCAAAATTTTATACAACGCTGTGCATGACTAGTTGTGCAATCTAGGACTCCGGATAATGTCGAACTAGCTTCCTTGAGTGTCACTGTGACAAATAAATTAGGTATCATACTAGACAGAGCTCTGGGCACACTTCCGGAAATGATCGACTGGCATCACCTCACCTTCTACATGTTAGCCTAGGGGGAGGGGGAAGAGGGAGGGGTGGATTGGGAGGTTGGGATTACCGGGTGCAAACCACTATATGCAGAAGAGATAAACAACAAGATCCTATTGTATAGCCCAGGGAACTATATTCCACATCCTGTGATAAGTCATAATGGAAAAGAACATATACATATATATGTATGTATACCTGAACCACTTTGTTGTACAGCAGAAATTAAAGCAGCACTGCAAATCAACTATACTTCAGTAAACTAAATTAAAAAAAATTTAAAATTAAAAAAATTTAAAGTGTTAGACTATACCTCATACTCCAAGATTTTCAGTCTATAAAACTTGCTCTTTCTAGAATTATGTTTCTCCAGCAATTTCCAGGGAGAATCAGGAGTTCAAAGAAGCCATTCATGTTTCTCTCACTTCCATTCTTACAGTTTTCTGCTTTGTATCTAAGATTCTTTGGCAAAGCAGCACTATTGATTTGATTTTGTATCCTTGAACAGTGCTCCACCCAAGCAGATCTGTTGCAAACTTATAACCATCAGTTTCCTTGAAGGCAGTGATCAAGCTATAAAGGTAATGCCTTGGATCTTGGCAACTGGAAGGCTTGCTAGCCCACTCTTCTTCCCATCCAAGCCTGCTTCACCACTTTTATTTGTTCATGTCTCACTGAACTTAATGTCTCTTTCTCTAGTTGTGTCTTACCGAAGGTAGATGCTTTAAAATTTTTTTTTAACTTTCAATTGTGGTAAAATGCACATAACATAAAAGCTACTATCTTAACCATTTTTACATGTACAATTGTGTTAAATACATGCACACTGTTGTGCAACCAATCTCCAGAACTCTCTTCATCTTGCAAAACTGAAACTCTGTCCCCACCACACAATAACTCTCCATTTCCCATCTCCCCAACCCCTGACCCCAACCCAGCTGTTCTTCCTGCCTCAACAATTTGACTGCTTTAGGGAACTCATACAGGTAGAATCTGTGTTTCTGTTTTTGTCGCTGGCTTATTGCACTTAACATGCCCTCAAAGTTCATCCATGTTGTAGCATGTGTCAGAATGTCTTTCCTAAAAAAAAAAAAAAAAAGAATGTCTTTCCTTTTTAAAGTTGAATAAGATCCTAGCTGTATTATGTTGTCTTTGTTCAGTCACTAAGTCATGTCTGACTCTTTACCACCTCATAGATTGTAGCACGCCAGGTTCCATGAGGTTCTCTAGGCAAGAATACTGGAGTGGGTTGCCATTTTCTTCTCCAGGGGAATCGTCCCAGATCAGGGATCAAACTCGGGTCTCCTGCATTGGCAGGCGGATTCTTTACCGCTGAGCCACCAGGGATGTCCCAATTGTATGTATATACCATTTTTATCCATTCACTGGATTTTGTTTATCCATTCATCTTTGATGGATGTGTGCGTTTGTTAGACTATACCTCATACTCCAAGATTTTCAGTCTATAAAACTTGCTCTTTCTAGAATTATGTTTCTCCAGCAATTTCCAGGGAGAATCAGGAGTTCAAAGAAGCCATTCATGTTTCTCTCACTTCCATTCTTACAGTTTTCTGCTTTGTATCTAAGATTCTTTGGCAAAGCAGCACTATTGATTTGATTTTGTATCCTTGAACAGTGCTCCACCCAAGCAGATCTGTTGCAAACTTATAACCATCAGTTTCCTTGAAGGCAGTGATCAAGCTATAAAGGTAATGCCTTGGATCTTGGCAACTGGAAGGCTTGCTAGCCCACTCTTCTTCCCATCCAAGCCTGCTTCACCACTTTTATTTGTTCATGTCTCACTGAACTTAATGTCTCTTTCTCTAGTTGTGTCTTACCGAAGGTAGATGCTTTAAAATTTTTTTTTAACTTTCAATTGTGGTAAAATGCACATAACATAAAAGCTACTATCTTAACCATTTTTACATGTACAATTGTGTTAAATACATGCACACTGTTGTGCAACCAATCTCCACAACTCTCTTCATCTTGCAAAACTGAAATTCTGTCCCCACCACACAATAACTCTCCATTTCCCATCTCCCCAACCCCTGACCCCAACCCAGCTGTTCTTCCTGCCTCAACAATTTGACTGCT